GGATGTGGCGGTGGTGGTGGTGGGAGGTTTGGTGCTGATGGCAGCCCAGGTTGCTCTAACTCCTTTTTGTACGGATGCTCGAGGTGAGCGGCCGTGTCTTCGGAGCTTCTTGCTGGACCTGGCGGGGATGCTCGCCATGACAAGCATAGGGATGGGGTGGTCTTGTGTTGCTGGAATCAAGCGTTGGCATCTGCGGGGACGACCAGGTTGGGGATGCTTCAGGAGAAAGCCTTGTGCGGCAACGATGACGGCGACGCCTTTAGGCGCCGTTTCCCTTCTTGAAGGGTCATTGGGGAGCTGCTGCCACCTGCTCATTCGTGTGCTCCGGGCGAAAGCCTTAGATCCTTTATTGGTTCGGACAACGATGGCATCTCGATGCCATTCTCCCCCTTGGGGGCGTTGTTTTTTGGAGCCACGGAATTTGCCGTTGGTTGCTCGATGTCTGGGTAGGCAGAGGTTGTTGGGTGGTTGGAATGCTCGGTGGTGGCGGTGGAAGTGGTCTGTGGCGGCGACTGGGCCTTGGTCATCCTGGTGCTGTTGGTTGACCTCTCATGGGGGCTCATGGCGACGATGATGTCTCGGTGTTCGGTGCCCTTCGACGGCGCGTGAGGTTTTGTTGCTTTGCATAGTGCTCTGGCTCCATCTATTTGTGATGGTGGCCATGGTGTGTCCTAGAGGAGGTGCAGGGGCTGTCTCGGCGGAGCATTGCCCTTTGGCACGGTCAGTGGCTCTTTCTGTTGCGACGTGGCTAGGCAATGGGATGCCCTTCGATGGCGACTGTGACTTCCTAGCTCTTCAAGGTGTGAGTGATCGCAGGGCAGCGGGTGGCTTCTTCTATTTGTCTTCTCGGCAATGAATCTCCTTTCGACTGTTCCATCAAAGCTAGCTCCTGCTTTTCTCGATTAGCCTAGTGGTGATGGGTGCTAAGTTCTTGGTGTCAGCTACTTGTCGTAGCTTGTTTCCTGGTTCTTCTTTGTTGTCCCTTGTTCCTTCTTGTGTCTGTTGGGTGCTACACTTGTGTAGCTGTTGTGTTTGTATTTCTGTCTTAACTATGATAATGAAAATGGTTCAGGCTACGCCGTAGATCCGTTAAAAAAAAGATGGAGTTTAAACCAGTGCAAAGGAAGAATATTTTTCCACTGAAGCCGTGGAAGTAACACAGCCGTCTGGTTAATTTGCGAAAATCACGCCCACAAGAAAGGGTTTTGGAAGGCCTTGTGCGAATCTCAGTTTCAACACCTAGGGCATGAATCCTTTCTAAAAGTAGACAAAGTTTAAATCAGCTGCGGGGGAGAGGGTAGCACTAGCATGGAGGCCATTTTCTCGAGCTTCGAACGAGAAAACTCCCTTCTTGAGCCCGAGAAAAATAGCGCTATTCTACCGTGTTTCATATCGAAGTCTCATGCTTCGGTATGAAATGAGATTTCGCCGAAAGTGTCCTCGTTTTGTACGGCGGAACTCTAGCATGAACGAGATATTTCATACGAGAGTTCCGCCGTAATTTTTTGGACAAAAACAAACAGTCAGTTGCTATTTCTCGGGGGTGGGCGTCCGTCCACCCAAACGCAAACAAACAGAGGACCGTGCCCACCCCAAAACAATTCGAAACCTCGCTTCCGCCGCCGAGCCGAGTCCCCCCCTCCCACCGATTTCAAAAATCGAAACTTTTCCACGCGCAGCAGCGAGGCGGCAGGCAGTGGTCCCTTTCAGCCAGCTCTCCCTCCCATCCCCTCCGAAGCGGCCGAGATCTCGTCTCGTCTACCCGCGGCGATGCCACCGGCGGAGGGCGCGGCGGCGGGGCTGGGGGTCTCGGAGTTCGCGCTGCCGGACGGCGTGCTGGCGGTGCTGCCGCGGGACCCCTACGAGCAGCTGGATCTGGCGCGCCGCATCACCGCGCTGGCCGTCGCCGGCCGGGTCACCGGGCTCGAGCGCGAGGCGGCGCGGCTCAGGGAGGGCGCCGCCGAGCGGGACCGGGAGAACGCCGAGCTGCGGGACCGCGTCGCGCTGCTCGACCGCGCGCTCCAGGAGACCAACGCCAGGCTCCGCGCCGCGCTCGAGGACAATGTCAGTGGGCTTCTGATTCCCGTTCTCCTCCGCTCTCTCGTCTGGTTCCGCTTCCGCCTCCGTTGGCTGACGAGGCTTTTGCTGCTTTGCCTTTGCGTGTGGGTGCAGATTCAGCTGAGCAAGGAGCGGGACTCGCTCGCGCAGACCTCCAAGAAGCAGGCGCGCGACCTGCACAAGGTTGCCCCCTCCTCGCATCCTTTTTCTTCTCGCTATCCTTGCGGTAGATGTTGGTCTATGTAGTGATGTGCGGCCCTGGGAGGGAGGTTGGGACAGGTGGTGCAGCTGAAATCTCTGGTCATGTGATTGGTTTAGTGGTGAATGACTTAGTGATGTAGTAGCTCACTGCGATTATGTGTCTGAAACTCATTCACCAATCTGGGCTATTCAGTACACTAATCTTGGTAGTAGTACCAGGGAAGAGTGAATTCTAACTTCGGCTGGCTACAAATGAGAGATATTTTGTGCCCATTGAGCAAAGATAGGTTGTAATTGTATGGCGGTATCCTAAAACATTTCTTGTGGGCGGCCTAAAGCACTCATGGTATCATTACGAGGTTTGACAGAAAAATGGAATTCTTCATATATTTAATGCCATGTGCAAACAATGATAGCAAATCAAGGGATTGTAGGAAGGTAATCAACTGCATTTATTCTGGTGAAAGTGAAATACGATCAATCTAGTCAGCAACTATGTTCATTGGCATTGTGGCGTGCCAGAGTTAGGAAAGCCTTGCAAGCCTTGCAAAAATGCATGCAAGGACTGAACAAATGTGTGCATTTCTCTAAATTTCCATGACAAATGAAAGGAGAGGCACTCTTTGTTAAGCTATCTAAGGAACAAGTCAGATGATTGCTTCTCAGTTCTATGGAATCCTTTCTCCTTCAACTTTTTTTATTCGACAACATTCTGAACTATTTGCTCTATTATCAGCTGGAGTCGTTCAAGAGGCATCTGATGCAGTCACTCCGCGATGATAGTACATCGGTGTGTAATCACATTATTATCCAATCTCTGTTTGTATATGTTATTTCTTGCTAGTCTATGGCAATGTTTGACAGTTTCCCCTTGATTCTCTGCTGACTCTTTCCAAGCAGCCCCAAGAAACTGTTGACATTACAACATGTGATCAGTCAGTATCATCTAAAACATCGTCCTGTGGAGGTTTATCCCGAAGACCTTTTCTGTTCTATCTTCTATGTATCACCGGAAATACTTTGACACTAATCCCTGACTGCTATTATCTTTGAATATTGAAGATGGATCTATCAGCCACACTGCAGCAAATTTGTTGAATGGGTCTGGGGATCTTGGAAGCACAACAAGAGAAGGTCTTCTTAACTTCCTATTGATCGACTACTTCGATGTTCTCAAGCCGTCCATGATTTAATCCTCTGCATTTTGGCCTATCTATTTGGTATACAGCGGCAAGGACTCCAGTCCAAAAGTATGCCCTCTCCCCACACATCAACCAACGCCTTACGCCAGAAGCCACACCAAATATAATGTCCACCTCTGCTTCTCCAAGAGGAATGTCCACCACCGCAACACCAAAGTTGGTATCTGGAGCTACCTCGCCTTCAAGAACTCGAATCGAAGGACACATGTCAATGACACCATGGTATTCAAGCAAGCAGTCGTCTGCAGCTAACTCACCTCCAAGGGGACGTCCCAACCCAGGTTTCATTTATTCTGAACTTTGAAGATATCTTGTGCCTTTTTAAATGATTGTGTGCAACATGATATCGTTAATATGGTTGATGCTTGGGTTTTCAGGTCGCACTCCTCGTATTGATGGAAAAGAATTTTTCCGTCAGGCCAGGTCAGTTGATCCCCTACTCTTTACATCTTCAACATCAGCCAAGATGGGTGTATCAAAATCCCTAAAGCACACCGATTTTTCAGGAGCCGTCTATCATACGAACAGTTTGGAGCGTTTTTAGCGAACATCAAGGAGCTGAATGCTCATAAGCAGTCACGAGAGGTTGGCCGTCTGCATCTTTTTGCTAATTCATGAATTGAGTCTATGTTGTGCCATGAGCCTCGATAAATAAATAACTTACCATATTTACATGTGAACCAGGAAACCCTCAAGAAGGCTGAAGAAATATTTGGTCCAGACAGCAAAGACCTATACCTCTCTTTCCAAGGCTTACTAAACCGCAGCTTGCCGTAGGGCGTAGGACTCACGAAGTGCTCCGGTTCTGGTAAGGCTTCCTACCAAATTAAGCAGTTCCATGACCTATGCGCCGAGAGAGCTGTGTGGTAACAAGTATTTTAATTTGTTGGGGTTGCAGACCGTAGGAAGATACCGCGCCGGATAACTTATGTCGCCTAGAGTGGTATGCAATGCTCAATTGCAATTTTGGACCATTAGATCATGAAATGGTTGGATCTGCCTGAACTAAAGCGGTTTACAAGTTGTAATCTGGTAAAAATTTGGTTCTCAGCTTTGTTTCTTCAGATCGTTCGTTCTCGGGAGCCAGCATTGTAGCAAAAAACAACTCGAAGCTGTTTCATGCCTTCTGATAACTTGAGCTGCATGCAATATATGGTTATCTGATATCTACCAGATAGAGATGCAATAACTTGAACTAAAAACACAGCCTGCATTTCTGTTGCGGAGTCCGACTGTCCAACTAGATAGAATTCAAAGGGCAGCAATGTTCTTGCAATGGGGTAGCACAAAGCACACACCAAAATACCAAAATGTCTGTAGCCTGTAGGAGTGTTTCTTCCACCCTTGTCAACAAAAGCACAGCCAAAAATCCGCGGACTTGCTGGAGGCGTATATAGGAGAGGAGAGAAGAAGGGCTTTCACTCTGCCCTCACCTTCCTCCCGGTGTCACCGTAGTCTACTTTTAAATACTAATGCTTCTATATATACCAAACCATCACCTGATCACGCACTAAATCATCAGCCTAAGTAATAATATAGCTTGTCGCCCAGCCTTCAGAATGACCAGAACCTGGAGCACTCCAGCTCCAGCTCCATGACGCCGGACTGATCCACAGCCATGTCATGGCGGTCCGCCGTCTTGGTCGGCGACGACATGGAGGACGGCGAGCCGCTGGCGGTGCTTCCGCCGCCGCGGCGTGCGGTGCCGCCGTAGGCGTCGGCCATCCTGAGCCTGACCATCTCGGCCTGCGCGAGCGCGAGCTGCGTCTGCAGCGACTCCACCTGCCGCTGCAGCGACGTGATGGCGCCGACGCAGCCGTAGATGGGGTCCCGCACGCGCGCGTTGGCCTCGTACACCAGGCTGCTCACCGCGTCGCCCCGGTGCTCCGCCGGAATCTCCTGCAGGTTGCACACACACATCATGGTTAGTTTCAGACGGAAGTAAAAAGAGTCCCAGCTAGTAAGTTGGGTCATCTATTTTGGAACGGAGGGAATACACATGAACGATATGACCCTAATAAGCTGAGAAAGATGATGGTTGCGACATGTTTGGTGCGGCCGAAAGTTTTCTGAATTTTCTGTTGAGATGGGAGGCATGTGCAGTGGTCGTCTGAAGATGGGCTGACTGCCGAGGGAGAGCTAGGCCGTACGCCACTGATTTACTGACTGCTGGGATGGATTATCACATGGGAGGGAGAAGCTTTCATTTGGAGACATGTCCAACAAAACTTTGTCGATTTAGTAAGAACCTAGTAGTAAGTAGGCATGTCTATGGGAGCATCAGTGATGGGAAGTATGGAAAAAAAAATCTTATAATAGTAACTAGGCATGCCTTTGGGCAATCAATCTAGTTTAATTTGACCACCTTTATCGAAAAAAAAGTTTAAATTGACTGCACTGCACATGTAGGGTTGCTTCAGGGACAGGTTCCCCTGTGAACAGTGAAAGTACTCATCCCATAATGTAAGACGTTTTTTGACACCAATATTACATTATGAGACGGAGGGAGTAGGACGTTGCTGCCCATGCTTGATGAATGTCTTTTTTTCTTTTTGAAGAAGGGAAGCTTGATGGTAAATATGGATGGCGTCGTCAACCATAGCATAGCATAGCAAAAGAAAGTGCAAATGTGAAAACTCTACACCACATGGACTGCAGCTAAGCAAGCAAGCGTAAGAGCAATCTTTTTTGTGTGTGTGTCAAATATCGGTATGAGACCTCTTGTTGCGATTAGATTAGAGTTTGACAGCGCATGGTGATGGTCTCTATTATTTTTTTCTAACGAACGAGAGAGGAAGGATCTTCTTGTCTGTGATCGCACAGCACAGCACACGCCGAGAATCTCTCTCTAATCAGTATAACTAATAAAGAAACAAAGACGATCTCTCTCTCTCGTTCTCCTTGTCTCTTGTGGCATGGGGCATGGCCACTGCCACTATGAGAAACTTGGTAATTATGCATGCAAAGAAGCGTGCTATCTTTGGCATAATAACGTCGCATAAGCGGTGCTGGGACGGACCTGGAGGAGCTTGCTGATGTTGCTGGCGCCGAAGACCTTGTGCACGCTGGCGAAGCGGTGCGGCTCGCCGGAGGGGAAGTAGGGCGCGAACACGCACCCCGGCGAGCACCGCCGCCGCAGCAGCTTGCACGCCGCGCACGGGGACACCCCCGCGCCGCCCGCCGCCACCTCCTTCATGCCGCCTCGCCGCTTCTTCCTCCGCCAAATTCGGAGAGGAGACGAGAGCAAGTGCACCGGCACGTAGGTGGAATGCAATATAATGCCGCCTCGCCTTGGCTATAGGGTCCTCTGTGAGCAAGGAAAAGGTCGAGGAGGCACACAGGAGCACAGAGGCTGACTGTGAGGAAGGAAAAGGTGGGGAGACAGAGATCCATCGATCGATTGTGTCTGTCTGTCTGTGTTGTGTTGGCGGCTGAATTATACCGCGATCGTCCCATGATCGAGTGGCCCGCCGGATTACTACCTACCGGCGGTCAGCAGACAGTGGTGCTAACACTCGCTGGAAGCCAGCAACTTTTACTCGGTTTTACCTCTGCTGCCTGCGGTGCTGCTGCTGCCCCAGTTCGGTTTGGTCAATGGGTGATGGACGGACGGACGGACAAGATGCGTCAACAAAAACAGAGGTCTTTTTGTCTGTACCCATTCGCAGGGCCATGCCCACTTGATTAGCCCGTGCCTTTGTTGCTCCGCCCTTTGGGAGACACCACTGATGCCTAATCCAGCCTTGGCCCCTCTCCGGCTCCTTTTGCCCTCCCCTACACACACACATTGTACACATGGTACGCCCGCCTTCCTTGCTTGCTGGTGAAGGAAGGAAGCCACCCATCCATCAATGTCGGTCTCGCCATCACGAGCTTTAACAATAATTACCATCATCATCATCGTCGTCAAAATGAACGAACAGACACCAGTTTGTTCGGCGCTGAAAAACTCGAGCTTCATTGCCATGGCTCCGCAGCTCGCACGAGACAACAGTGCATGCAGAAAGAAAGGACAGGACGGCGACGAACAAACTGCCGTGTCTGCGGCAGACGCCGGCCGGAGCCCCACACGTCGCCGTGTCTGTCGGTCGGGGGTGCGTGAAGCTGAGCGGGAGCAGTTGGTCAAAACCGCCGCGGCGCTGTGCCGTGCGCGAGCCACAGTGGGGCGCGGCGCGGCCACACGACGGCCTCTCCATCGCCTTGTCTCCTTCCTCCGTGGCTCCGCCGCTCCGGCCCCGGGCGATCCACACGATCCTCCCCAACGCGCACCTCACTGTGCGGCGTACACGAACCGGGCGCCGATTGTCAAAGCCTCATAGTACCGCTACTCCTACTGATTAGTACTTAGAGACAAGGACAGCCCGCTTTGGCGCACTAATGCTAACTGCAGCGCACGACGCGTTTTTCGTTCCTTCACCTTAGTTTGGATTCATGTCGACAAAAGACACGGTCTAATGCGTCTACGTAAACCGGTGGGTGTCCATTTTTTTTGTCCGTCGCGACCAATTTTTGGACCAATATTGGGCTCAATTTACGTCCGCGCGGACGCCCTCCCCTGGCCCGCCGAGCTGTGGCACACCCACGCCATTCCCTCCACTCTCTCTCGAAACCATCCCGCCCTCCCGCCATGGCTGACGCGCCCAACCCCGTCGCCGCCCCCTTCCAGGCAGCCACCATCCCCCTCATGGCCGCCTGCGCCGTGGGCCTGAAGAAGCCGAAGAAGGTGCACACCCCGGAGGAGACGACAAAGAGGGCTGGCCGGAGAAAGAAGGAGAAGGCGGAAAAAGAAGTTGCCGCCGTAGCCCAAACCGCTCAGCCGCAGGCCGTCGCTGCGGAAAGCGAGGCCCTCGTCGCTAAGGCCAGCAACATGCCCTCCTCCTTCTAGGGTAACACGACGAGCCGTCCCTTTTCACATGGCCGCTGTGGCGGCTGAAAGATCGTGGATGTCGATTAGAGTGGAGGGATGGGGGTGGGGGGTGGGGGTGAATAGGCGCTTTTAAAACAATCACAGTTTAGGCTTGAACAAATGCGGAATAAACCTAGCGGTTAATTTGTCAAGCACAAAACCTACAACAACTAGGCTCACCTATGTGCACCAACAACTTATGCTAAGCAAGATAAACTACAAGGTGATAGCAAAATATATGACAAGAAACAATATGACTATCACAAAGTAAAGTGCATAAGTAAAGGGCTCGGGTAAGAGATAACCGAGGCACACGGAGACGACGATGTATCCCGAAGTTCACACCCTTGCGGATGCTAATCTTCGTTTGGAGCGGTGTGGAGGCACAATGCTCCCCAAATAGCCACTAGGGCCACTGTAATCTCCTCACGCCCTCGCACAATGCAAGATGTCGTGATTCCACTAACAGACCCTTGAGGGCGGTCACCAAACCCGTACAAATGGCAACCCTTGGGGGCGGTCACCGAATCCGTACACTTTGTCAACCCTTGGAGCGGTCACCGGTACCCGTCAAATTGCTCAGGGCGATCTCCACAACCTAATTGGAGACCCCAACGCTTGCCCGGAGCTTTACACCATAATGATTGAGCTCCGAACACCACCAACTGTCTAGGGCGCCCAAGCACCCAAGAGGAACAAGCTCAAGGGTACCAAGCACCCAAGAGTAATAAGCTTCTCAACTTGTAACTTCCATGTATCACCGTGGAGAACTCAAACCGATGCACCAAATGCAATGGCAAGGGCACACGGAGTGCCCAAGTCTTTCTCTCTTAAATCCCACCGAAGCAACTAATGTTAGAAGGGAAAGTGA